GTTGATGTGCTCTCTTTCTGTTTTTCGAATGTAGGCTTCTAAAGTGATAAATTTTCCTCTCAGGACTGTTTTTGCTGTATCCCATAGGTTTTGGTAGCTTCTGTTTTCATTGTTGTTATGCTCAAGGAAATTAATGATTTCCTTTTTTATGTCTTCCTGCACCCATTCAGCATAAGGTTGTTTAATTTCTATGCCTTTGTATGGGATTGAATGTTTTTGTTGGAGTTGAGTTCCACCTTTAGTGCCTTGTGGTCTGAAAAGATACAAGGTAAAATTTCAATTCTTTTGATTCTGTTGAGGTTTGTTTTGTGTCCTAGAATATGATCAATTTTGGAGAATGTTCTCCAGTTTGGGAGAGAAGAATGTATATTCTTTATCTTTAGGATGGAGTGTTCGATATATGTCTATCAAGCACAGTTGTTCTAGGGTCTCATGTAAATCTCTCATATCTTTGTTTAATTTCGTTTAGAGGATCTGTCCAGCTCTGTAAAAGGAGTGTTAAAGTCCCCTGTTATTATAGTGTTATAGGATATCATATTGCTCAGACTAAGTAAGGTCTGTTTCAAGAATCTGGGAGCATTTAAGTTGCGTGCATAAATATTTAGAATTAAAATGTCTTCTTGTATTTTTCCCTTGACTAATAAGAAGTGACCGTCTTTGTCTTTTTTGACTTTGCTTTAAATCCACATGTATCTGAAAATAAGATTGCAACCCCTCTTTTCTTCTGGATTCTGTTTGCCTGAAAAATTGTCTTCCAACCCTTAACTCTGAGCTTTAATTTGTCTTTTGGGACTAAATGTGTTTCCTGCAAACAGCAGATGGATAACTTGTGTTTTTTAATCCAATCAGCCAATATGTACCTCTTCAGTGGGGAGTTCAAGCCATTAACGTTTATTGAAATAATTCATAAGTATGATAACATTCTAGTTATCTTATTTTGTGAAAATCCATTGCTTAGTTTTGTTTTCTGCATCATTGTGAAGCTAGGTTCTATCTTTCAATTTCTGGGTGCTTGCTTTGCTAGTGGTCCCTTGTGATGGTCAGTGTGTAGAACAGGTTGAAGTATTTCCTATAGAGCTGGTCTTGTTGTGGCAAATTTCCTCAATGTTTGCGTATGAGTAAAAGATTTGATTTCTTCATCAATTTTATTTTATTTTTATTTATTTTTTTGCAATTTTTTTGGCCAGGGCTGGGTTTGAACCCACTACATCTGGCATATGGGGCTGGCGCCCTAGTCCTTGAGCCACAGGTGCCACCCTATTTTTATTTTTTTTAGAGACATAGTCTCACTTTGTTGCCCTTGGTAGAGTACTATGACATCACAGCTCACAGCAACCTCCAGCTCTCAGGCTTAGGTGATTCTCTTGCCTCAGTCTCCCGAGTAGCTGCGACTACAGTCGTCCGCCATAATCCTTGGCTATTTTTTTGTTTGAAGTATGGCTGGGGCTAGGTTGGAACATACCACCCTCAGTATATGGGGCCAGCACCCTACTCACTGAGCCACAGGCGCCACCCTCTTCATCAATTTTAAAGCTTAGTTTAGTGGGATATAGAATTCTGGATTGAAAGTTATTTTGTTCAAGTAGATTAAAGGTGGATGACCATTGTCTTCTGGCTTGAAAAGTTTGATTAGAGAAGTCTGCATTTACCCTGATGGATTTTCCCCTATAGGTCATTTGGCACTTACTCCTGGCAGCTTCCAAAATTTTTCCTTTTGTCTTGATTTTGGACAGATTCATCACAATGTGTCTCGGAGAAGCTCTATTAGGACTGAGGCGACCTAGGGTCCAATATCCCTCTGAAAGGAGTGTGTCAGAATCTTTGGTGATATTTGGGAAATTTTCATTTATAATATTCTCTAGTATGGCTTCCATTCCTTTGGGGTCTTCTTCCCCTTCTGGGATACCTATAACTCATATGTTTGAGTGCTTCATAAAGTCCCATAATTCTGTCAGTGAACGTTCTGTTTTCTCTCTCTTCTTTTCTGCCTCTTTAACTATCTGAGTTATCTCAAGAGCTTTGTCCTCTACCTCTGAGATTCTTTCTTCTGCATAATCTAATCTGTTGTTGATACTTTATATTGCATCTTTAAGTTCCCTAATTGACTGCTTCAATTCCTTCATCTCTGCTATATCCATTCTATATTCTTCATATTGTTCATCTCATATTTGATTCTGGTTTTAGATTTCCTTTTGGCTATTTTCCACTTTCTCAGCAACTTCCTTCAATGTTTTCATCATCTGTATTTTAAATTTCCCTTCTGTCATTTCTAGCATTTCTTTATAGGTGGAATCCTCTGTAGTAGCTACCTCTCAGTCCCTTAGGGGGGTTGCTCTGGACTGGCATTTCATGTTGCCAGGATTTTTCTGCTGATTCTTCTTCATGAGTGTTTTCTTTTCATCTGTTTCCTTGCCCTAATTTTCCTTTCACTTCCTCTAGTTCTTTAAGTTACCGTGCCTCTGGCCTAAGGTTTTGATGAGTCCTTTTGGTACAGGACCAGAAGAATGAGAAGATTGAAGAGCAAGAGGGGAAAAAAAGATTTAAAAAAGAAAGAAAAAAAGGCAAGGAGAGGGGGTGAGTAAAAGGAAATATTGACAAAAAGAAGAGAGGCTCAGAAAGAGGGAGACAGGAATAATATAGGTGTATAGTAGGGTACTTTGATCCAACCTTAAAACCCCCCAACCTCTGAAGGTGTGGAGTTTGGTGGTTCCCTTGAGGTCTGCAGCTCTTTGTGGCCTTTTCAGATACAGTACCCCATCTCCATCACATAGAGAGGAAAGACAGAAATACTATAAACCAAACCAAACCAACCAAACAAAAACCCTTATGGGATAAAATTGGGGGAAAAAAATAATAGGGACAGAAACACTAGGAAAAATGAAGTTCTAATTGTTAAAGGAAGCAACAATGGAATATTTAAACTAGAAAAATGAAGAAAGAAAAGGAAGGAAAAAGAAAAAAGGAAAATCTAGAGGGACAATGTTGAAGTTACAAAAAAAGAAAAAGAAAAAAAACCCCAAACAAAAACCAAAACAGTATATATATCTTGTTGAATATTATCCAGGCAACAGGTGATCTTCTGGGGTATGAGTTGTTAATCACAATGCTGATACAGCTGTACGAGATGGAGACTGGAGGCCTCTGCTGATTTTTCAAATCCCACAGGCTTGAGAGGCTAAATGTCTCCTTAGCCTGCTTAAGAAACACTTTAAACTGTTATCCTTGACTAAGCAGAGGTTTTCCCAGGAAAGCACTTGTCACTGGGATCTCTCCTGAAGTGGCTGCCTGCTTATCTAGTGTGCCAAAACTGGTCTCACTCTATGCCCCTGAGGGCTAAGGCTATAATTTGCCAAACACTGAGATCTCCACTCTACCCCAGTGTCTCAGTCTCTGCCTTTGGGCTGCTCAGTCACTAGGTTACTCGCCCAAGATCTCCTGGCTAATCCTCACTCTGCAACCCTGAGGGCAAGGGGCAGTTCTCCCATAGTGGCGGTGCAGGCGGCCCACAGCTGAACAATATTAGCTCCCTTCCAGCTCAACAGCTCAGTCTGGGGCCCTAGACAATGCTCAAAGTCATCCACACTCTCACCCAGGATCTCCCAAGGAAGTTCAATTGAGTGCCCAAGCCCCTCCTACAAAA